AAGGTTGAAATCACCACATACAATTTTGTAAGTGAAGTCAAGCGAGGCAGCCTGAGCAAATGACTCACTTATAATAGTGTCATTTGAACTAGGAGTGTTAGGAGCTCGATATATGCATCCGATTAGTATTTTACATTCATGAGTGTACACAGTAAGCCATATCGATTCAGGAAGTTTACTGAGGACGTGGTCGCTATAGATTTCCGCTCTCAAATATTTTGATACATAAACGAGACAACCACCACCCTTCTTGGTTACTCGATCACAGCGGAAGAGCTCATATGTGTCTATTTGTAGAAATGTGTCTGTGGTGTCGGAGGACAGCCAACTTTCCGTTATCAAAACAAGTGAGGGGTTGTTTAAAAGTAAAAGGGTGCGTAGGTGAGTCATCTTACTTTGTACAGATCGAGCGTTAATTAACATAAGTGTCAGGTACGGTGACTGTTTGTCTAGTAGAAGGGTATGATGTATACCAAGTGATTTGTCTGTTTTGCAACGAGAAAAGGAAGAATTTAGAGCGTCGACTCCATATTGATGAGCGTTTAGTTTATTACCAGTAGGGTTAATGCGAGAAGGGTAGTCAGGTGTTGTTTTGGTGAAAGAAGTATGTCTAAGAGTGGAAGGTAGAGTTGAATGGTTAGGTAATGTGTCCGGGGAATGATCAGGGGGTCCAGTCAAGAAGTTTTCAAGACTAGAGACATTTATCGAGGTTGAGAAGGATCTGCCACTCCCCATCAAATCGGAGTATATAGATGGTTTCAGAATAGTGGGATTGTCGCCCTCAACATTTGGAGACCCCATAGCAGTAATGTTGAGGGGGGGAGAGATAAAAAAGGATGAGATAGTGTGTATGTCGAATTAGGGGGGGCTAAACCGCTGTATTGGGTGGCTTGACTTAGATAGTACCTAGAGTCAGTAGGTGGGTTTCCAAGTAGGCCAACATTATGGCTTCTTTGTGTGCGGTGGGCAATTTTAGTCCTATTGTGGTTAGTTGGGGAAGTTGTATGTTTCTGATGAGGAATAAAGGAATGCCTGTTATTGTTGCTAAGAGAGGTGTTTCTGATGTGTATAGTTTTGTGTTGATTCATGGGGCTTGCAAGGTTGACACTATATGACTTATGGGTATCACGTGTGGGTGTGGTTCTTGTCAAATGTCGTTTCACATTAGGATGAGTGGGTGTTGCCAGTTCACTATGTTTGTTGTAGGGCATTCTATTGCTATGAGAAGGTGCACGTTTTGGGTTAGAGGTGCTGGAGTATTGGTGGGTTTTTACGGAGGGTTTGGTATTATTTCGTACAGCGATGTCTGAGAGTCTGTAGCTGTTAGCGCAATTCCTGGGGTGGTCATTTTTAGGCATTTTACAGGGGCCGCTAGGGTGATACTTGGACGCTATTGAGGTCATCTCATTTCAACTAATATCAGGTGCATTAAAGTCTCCCATTATCAGGCGTCTGTTGTTTGCACTTCAAAGCTGAATGTGCCCTAAAACAAAGTCATCAGCTAAACAGATCGGTCTGCGATAGATGACACCGAGCATAAATGTACTATATCCGATAGCCAATTTACAGCTAATGACTTCACAAGTACCGCTACTATAGGATTCGCTAGCAGAGGGGCGAATATTTATATATTTGGCTATATATAACAGGACGCCATCTCCTTTTCTATGTCTATGTCAATCACTCCTGAGGAAATGGTATCTGAATAATTCTGTAGTAATGTCTAAGTCATGGATTAACCAAGTTTTTGTCACTGTAACAATGAGTGGCTTTAATCTGTCCACTAATGTTCCTAGTTCACAGAAATTATTTCTTAGACTACGAGCGTTGACATATAAAACTCCTAGGGAGAACGGCTTATCCACATAGACCTTAGTAGCATTCGCTTCCAAAACATTTGTATCAATTTGATCTTGCCTGTAAACTGGCATGCCTCATGTAACAAACTGTTATTTGAGAATAAATTATTATTATTATTACTATAACCACCCGAAAACCCACTCATCGGAGATTTTCCTCACCGTTTTGTCGACGGGTTTCTAGTTCAGCTAGTGCCTTCTCTCTTTTTACTCTACCTTCAAGAGACATATCGGGTCATACTCAATGGACCTATCCTTGACCATCAGTTGTACATTTGCAACGCGACTTTCATGAAGCTCGCCAACTGTGGTACTGATTAAAACCATCTACATTCATATCTTAGAAATTATCAACCCAGCTATGTAATTTACTACAGTGGATATTGTATCGTTTGTATCAATTTGATCTTGCCTGTAAACTGGCATGCCTCATGTAACAAACTGTTATTTGAGAATAAATTTTTATTATTATTATACTCGGATGTCGGAATTGTCGTGACTACGAGCGCTACTTGACAGAAGATCACGCTGCTTCTCCGACCCTAGGGTTACCTTAAGGAGTCCACATGGTCGAGGTTCAATACTGTCCTCAGTCCTCCCACATATTCTAACTAATTTTTTACCTGAAATCCTTAGAAGTTATCTGATATGATGCTACAAACATATTCTCCGAGCTTCTTTAAGTCACGCACGTGTCTAATTTTGTGATCAGGATCGTTTGACTCCGGCAAATTACTCACAATAATATTCAATGAGGTTGGATTCTTCTTTTCAGCCTGGCCTGGGCGGGTTCCTCTCTTACTATCAGATTTTGGTAGTGCATTTTGTGACTCACACTGGGAGTACACCAGTGACTTGCTAACCACCTGCGTACTGCCCACAGCTTTTCTTCTTTTCGTTTAGATTTCTCCATTCTGTGGTCCATTTTTCTTCCCTCAGGACACTGGGACTATTTGGAGCGGTGACGGTTTTATCCAGATCTTCAGTTTCCACTAGAGGTGAATGGTTACCAATGTTGATGTCAGGTGGTACTACCCCCTCCTCGTCAATGTTAACGGAGATTTCACTTTTCCGTCAGTCATATTCGGTTGCTCAAGGCGTCTTGTAACAGTAGGTACTACACTGATACATTCGTCACTGTCAGTACTCGTGTTATCAGCGCATGCGCCATCCTTCTTACACGCCAGTGCCCATAGCCTCATAGCCTCTTGTATTAGTAACGTCTTATTAGCACAGCAAAACATGTAAAGTCAACGTGAGTTAGGCTTCGAACATCTTTTGTATGAGGTGGGACTTCAACGGGTGCGCATGTGGAGATAGACCTGACAAGCTCATTTTGTAAATAGTTTTTAATATTATTTGTATTTATTTTGACAATATTTAACTGTATGTATATTTATCATTAAATGACTGTACCTGTTGTTTTAGTGAATAACCTTGAACTCACTTTCCGTTGTGTACTTTACATAGGTAGCGCTCCAGGAGTATCGCGACACTCTTTTGTACTTTTTCATTTCTGCTTTATGCACAACCGGAATTCGAAATTAATCATAAGTCAATCTGAAATTTCATTTTCCGTTTTCACAATTAGGTAAAAAGGGGTTTTTCCATTTCGCGGTACATGGTATCGCGATGTCCTTGAAAATTCAATAATCAGGTGCTGCTATAACGGTTTTTTCGTATTTGCATCGCAGACTATAAATTATTTCTACTTAACTGTAAACTGGGGTAGAGAAATCTTTTATTTTTATATGAAATATCATGATTCAAGCATATATCGTCATAAAAAGTGTATTGTTGTCAAGGCTACCAAAACAGCGTTACAGTAACGATACCTTGATAAGATTTATCGTTTTTCCCTTTAATAGCATAATTTTGACGAATTTTTACTGTTTTGTTCAACTTTTATGACACAAATAGGATAATATTTAAAATATTAGCTGTCCTGAGGGTTGTAAATACTATATATATGCTATAGATGATTATAACACATACCAAGATGTTAATATCACCGTCCACAGATAGATATATAAGTCGCCAAATGATTATTTTGCAGGAAATAAATCATAATCATGCGGAGGAGGTATATGTATGTGAAGACTTTACCAGAGACTAAGCTAACGTAGTTCCAATGTTTAGGCTGCCGGTATCCTTGCAAAGATAATTAATAGCAGGAATAAGTGTTATTATAAAGCGGTTACGAGAAAGCAATTAAAAGCATGATTCGACAATCAAGATATCTCGATCTCAAGTGACCAGATTGTCTGAGATCGTATGTGATGATCTTCGAAAATCAACCAAGGCCTGTCTAGCTTATGTGCTGATGCCGTAAATGACAATTACTTATACCTTACGTGGAAATAAAATAAAATAAGCATCAGTAATTGCAGATTGCACAGGATGATTCGAAATAAGTTCACATAGTAGTCTTTATATATGTTCATCGTCTAAGTTTCCGAAGTACAACCTGTCCAAAAATTAAATAATATAAGCCATGTATGTTGCGACCCAGGCCTTCCTAAGCAACGCAAGAGATAAAGCAAATAAGCGTGACTGACTATCCAAAAAAAGGGTGTGGTAAATGCACTTTTGATCCGTAATTGAATACCGGCTTCTGTGTTTATACTAGTTTCTGGTAAACATTTATACTGCAATAGCTATTTTCCATCAATCTTATTTCCAGCTGGCTTCACAAGTGTTCACAGACCTAACGGGGACAATTCATAAGAAACAGAAGTTATTTATTAATGGGTCATTTGTTATTCAATTAAACTTTAACATCAGTCTTTTAATTACGGAGGTGCTTATCTATTGTGACAGGTCGAAATTCGAACTAGTAGTATAGCACACCATGTTCAAGGTTGCAGTATTTGATAAACGGTCTGTATGTCTAATCGCATGTGTGCCAAACTGGTAATTATTACACAAGAACGCAAAACAACATCCCTGTTTAACAGTCACATAAGCCTTTACAGTACACTCTCCCTGCCGTTACAATGACTTAGCCCATCGTAGGTGGCGATAAGGCTCACATATGGTCTTGGCAGTCTACTTTTCGTGAAATGCGGGTCGATATGGATACTGCCTCCGTTTTTGAGGATGCACTTAAAAGTCTTGCGACTAAGGATTTTGATAACGGAAATGCTTAACCTTGTGACAGTCTACAAACGTCAGTTAATGGTTCTAGTGACTTTCTAAAACCTGAATCTTACATCACATATCCCCAGAATCCACAATTACCTTCCGTACAAAATATTCAGAAGGCTTCAGAAGAAGCTCCTAGTGCTTCTCAAAATGACATCATCCTCAGTGCTCTCATAAATGCTGGAATTGCTCCATCCTCTTTAAAACCTCAAGAAGTTTACTCTAATACTCCTTCAGTTTCAGTTACTGTGAATTTGAACGTTAACGTTCTCAATGCTCAAGGTCCTACCATACTGAGGGTTGTTCCACCAGAAAATGGCAGCAATTCACCAGTTATGCAAGCTTATCCTCCTCGAATGACTAGTCAGTTGTTAAAGGAGCCTTCTGATAATTATCTTACAATGTCTGGAATTATTCACATGCCAAATATTATACGGAAAAGGCCTCCTTCGCTTGTCGAAACTAGTCAGCCTTTTTCAAAAATCAGACGTAAACTTAACCATGGTCCAGTAGATAAAGACGTTAGCCATCAGATCACAGCATTTTCTGGTATGGGTACTGTCCCAACTAGCTCAAGTAAATGATATGAAGCTCCTAATGTTTCACGACAATCTTGGCCTACTCACTGCGTCCGAGTACCTAGTCATACTCAAATGACTCCCAGATCATACCCGTTGATAAAACGAGATGAAGATATGGATGAAGATGAAGATTTAGCTCAAGCCGAAACGTATGCTGACTATATTCCGTCAAAACTGAATTATGGATAAAAGCATCCAGATCATGTTGTTGAGTCGAGTTTCTTGTCCAGTGTCTCTCCTCCAGACATTCATTATCGTCTGATTCTTCCGGATGAAGTTATCGAGCGAGCGTATCTTTCAGCTGCGCAACTGGAAGCAGTTGTGTACGCCTGTCAACTTCATGAGTGTATCTTACCGAATGGTCAACGTGCGGGGTTTTTAATTGTCGTCGAGGCAGGTGTGTGAAAAGGTCACACCTTTTCGGAATATTATATGAAAATTATTTGCGAAATCGTAAGAAGGCCATTTGGCTCTCAGTTTCAAATGATTTGAAGATCGATGCTGAACGCTTTCTGCGTGATGTGGGCTCGGGAAAGATCAACGTTCATTCCTTAAACAAGTTTAAATATGCTCGTATTTCTGGTAAAACTAATGAACGTGCAAAAAAGGTTTTATGTTTTCTACTTATTTTTCATGGATTGGTGAAAATTAAGGTAGTGCAAAAGCGAAATATAAAACTCGATCAAAACAACTTGTTAATTGGTGTGGGAAAAAATTCGATGGTGTTATTGTGTTTGATGAATGTTATCGAGCTAAAAATTTAACTCCTAGTGGTTCTCAAAAAAAATTTAATAAGTCAATAGCCACATAAATGAATTTTTGTAAAGCTAAAAAGATTCCAATATTCGAACTTCTTTTTATCAAGAAGCATAGCTATGGTCAATATTAACAATGGATTCTGACGATATAGCTCTATCATTCGCACCGATTGAACTGATCACTTATGCGCACATGTCTTCCGATGCTTCGAGGCATGAACGAGCATGGACTGAGTGGTAGTTGTTAGTGAACTTCTCTAGCAGATCAACACTCCCTGTAGAGAATGACATGTTGTCCAGCGCACGAAGAACCAAGTCCATTATGTATTTCCAGTTCCACCGGCTGCTATGTCGATATAAGTCTACAAAGCTTATAGAGATAAGGGAACACACACTTACCTCCACGAATTAGATCTTTGTAATGTGCATGCAGAATATGACCACAGGGCAGCATGTTGTCACTGAAACGCTCACAAGCACATCATGCACGTGAAGTATCAACGACATTCATCATGCACTTGTCGTAGCAACGGATGTATTCTCCTTCTATAAATCCGTGTCTCATTGTCCTAACACGTTTATAATTTACAGATACAATTTTAGCTGCAAAAGATGTGAACTCACTCATAGGAATTCAAAATGACATTGGAACCTGGAATTCATGATACATTTAACTATATTTCTTACCTAAAGAAATGGAAAACTTTGAAGATTTTTTACAGCGTCATATGGATGCAAACATAGGTCAGTGTCTGTTTTACTCCAAATTTTCCAGAACGTCAATGGAAGAGAATCACCTATTCTGAGACGTTCTTTTAGGTGTTTATGAGCACTTTCGACACAGTTGTTTGTGTGGTTGCCCAGGCTTAATACATGTCGCCGGTAACAGCGAGCCCATATTGACTTCCGGGAAATCCAGTAATCTTTTATGTAATCATATGCCCGTGGGAAATGGGTTATTAGATGTTCGCACTTCTGAGTAAATCCGAATATTTTATTTTATTTGAACACAAAAATATTGGTACAAGAGTGCGCCAAATATATATGCGCCACACAAGACAATGAGAATTCGGAGAGAAGGAAAAAGAAAAAAGGTGAGGAGGGTAAAACAAGAACAATAAAGAAGAGATTGGTGTAATATAGTGTAATAATAATAGTGATGATAATGGGGGAACGGAAAGGTACAATCAGAAGAAATCTTTCAGTTGAGGAAGAAACAACCACTTTTTTGAAGAAAGTGAAAGAAGGTTACAGCATGATCGCCACTGGTTTCTATTCTGAGCCATATCTGATAACGTCTCTAGCCATTGAGTCGCACCATCTCTAGGACCTCAACCAGGGAGTCGTGAAGGACCAACACAAGCCAGTCCTTTGCAGCTTTCTTTCATACCCCGATACCATGTCATAATAATAATTTATTCTCAAATAACAGTTTGTTACATGAGGCATGCCAGTTTACAGGCAAGATCAAATTGATACAAACGATACAATATCCACTGTAGTAAATTACATAGCTGGGTTGATAATTTCTAAGATATGAATGTAGATGGTTTTAATCAGTACCACAGTTGGCGAGCTTCATGAAAGTCGCGTTGCACATGTACAACTGATGGTCAAGGATAGATCCATTGAAGGTGGAGGCTTCTAAATTTCGCAAACTCATGTCCCTTTGAAATGTCTAAGGCTCTGAGGATGGTGCAGGATGAAATCTTTCGTTCCATATCACAAGGGGGCTGAAAGAGGGAGCAAGTAAAAGAAAGGACGAGAGGCAGAGCAGCCAATATTCATGAAGGAATGTTTAACAAAAATTTATCCATATGGCGTTTTTTCAAACGATTATCGCCAACTGAAGAACGTTATAGTGTAACAGCATAGGTTGGTTGGTTAAGAGTTGACCCCAAACAACCAAGCATATGCCAAAACAGTATTGTTCAAGTACTCATTCACTTCCTTATTTTGTATAAGCATTATATTCCGTATTATCTTATATTGAATGTTGAAAGCCTCTTGTTTGCCTGAACAGATAATCCCACGCTCCACTGTGACTGCGCTAAGATCGAAATAAAGACCTATTCACTTCTTGTCTGGCTTCTTCTATCAATAGCACGAGGGTTACCTATAGGCACGAAAATAGCACCTACGGACGCAAACTTCCGGCCATGTATTTCGCTGTAAAACACTTCAGCTTCTTGCTACAGGGTCGTAATTTCACCATTATGGCTGATCATAAACCCGTTTGATATTCCTTTAGCATGTCGTACGACAAGCATTCTCCACAGGAAGCCAGAAAAATGGATTACATTTCTCAATTCACAACGGACATCCAGTTTATCAAAGGCTCCTCCAATGTTGTAACAGACACACTATCTAGGATGGATATCAATATGATGGCACTCAGTCACGACATCAGCCTCAAAACCCTGGCTAAATTACAAGTAGACGATTTGGAATTGAAAGTCTGCTTGAAAGTCTAACTTGAATCTTAAACTAATACCCATTCCTTTCTCAAATGCATCGATTATTTGCGACACTTCAACGGGTACTAATCGCCCCTTTGTGCCACAACCCTGTCGACAAAAAATATTTCAACAGCTACATGGACTGTCGATTCAGAAAGGATCTGAGAGTATGGGATTATGTGTGGTTATAAAATAAAATATAGTGCTAGAAACATTATTGTGATATACAATTGGCTGTCTTCCTTTTTTATCCAAGCTATTAGATCCCCTTTAATTTTTTTGTACTATTTTTTTCAGGTATCATAGGGTCTTGAGTAGGCTTCGTATATTAGCGAATTGTCTAGTTTGCTTGTCATAGGATTACTAGGTAGGAAGTGAAGTCAATTCAACATTCGTAACACGGTTTAATGAGGTATTTTGCATGATAAATCTGCATTAAAACCTTAAGTTCGTGACATCTCACTAAACCATAAGGAGCCGTAATTAAACAAAATGTTCTGCCCTACAGACATGGGTGGATTGAAGTTATCTCCCCACCATCATGCTTGCTGGTCAGTAACGCCACCCTCCCTCCTTTTGTGATGTTAGACTCTCTTACGTTTGTGGTAAGTATGAATACTCTTCAATCAAAGCCCGTGGTTGGAATACACTGTCTCTACTAGGTCCATGTTACAAGCAAATCAGATAGTTGAAAAGTCTATTTTATGGGCTAGATGTGCACATAGTATATCACACTGCTATGAAAACAACTAATGGTTTAAAGAAGTAAGGATTAATAGCAAATTAAAAGATATGAGAGGGTATAAAATTGTAGAAAAAGAAAATTAAGATTTCAGGGTAAAACAAATAAAACATTGAGAAACTCTCAAGAATTTGTGGCCAAATTTTGAGTTTTGTATGATCGGCCTTAGTAGATCAGCACCCATAAGATTGAGCTATCTGTCTACTTGCAGTAGAAACAAAGCATGACTTTTAAGAATAATAATGTACATTTAACGTGTAGAGATTTGGGTACTAAAAGCTAGAGTTAGGAGCATAAGGCCATGATTAATAAACAATGAACAATAGGAAAGGATAAGCCATGTATTCTGTGATTTCGTTATATTCATATTAGTAACAGTCGAACTTGTTATAACCTTGTTCTTTCTAGATACTAGGCGGTCCGTAATAAAGTGCCTCATTGGTGGGCTGGAGTTCAAGGAAATGTTGAAGCTCTTTGGAATCTAGAAATAGTGTTATTAGCTTTTTTAATCTGGTAGACGTATCACAGTTACGGATAGGCATTGGCAGCCTGTTCCACAATAAACTATACCGTACTGTAAAAAACTTACAACGCATTTGTTTTTGGTGTTTTACGGTAAGTAGTGTATATGCGTTGTTTCTAAGTCTATAGGCTGGATCGTATTTATTTTATTTATTATTTATTTGAACACATAAATATTGGTACAAGAGAGCGCCAAATATATATGCGACACACAAAACAATGAAAATTCGAAGAGATATAAAAAAAACTAAGGAACGCAAAAGAAAAAGAGAACAATAACGGAGAGATTGGTGTAAGGTAGTGTGGTAGTAACGAGGGAACGGAAAGGTACAATCAGAAGAAATCTTTCAGGTAAGGGAGACACAACCACTTTTTATGAAGAAAGTAAAAGAAAGTTACAGCAGGATCGCCACTGGCTTCTATTCTGAGCCATGTCTGATAACGTCTCTAGCCACTGTGTAGAACCATCTCTCAGACCCCAACCAGGGAGTCGTGAAGGACCGACAGAAGCCAGTCCTTTGT